AATTATTATTAAAATCACAAAGTTGATGGATTTTGTTCGTAGCCAACTTACATGGCATGAATAAAAATAATAACCAAAAAATTATAATGTAAATACGAAGATGACTTTTGTCGATGCATAAACTTATAATATAAATTATAACTATTATCTTTTTCATATTATATATTTAAAAAAATTAAAATTCAAATAAGACTTAAAATTGTTGATATTAGGTAGGACTGTATTTTTTTAAAAAATTAAATATAAACTATAGGGAAAGATAAAAATAATTAATCTATCACATTTTATATACTTTATACTTTTTCATATTTATATATTTTGAAAATATCCCAAAACATATTTCATATTTATATATTTTTATAATTTTAGACAATTAAAAATAATAATATAACGAAATAATCATAACTCTTATTCATATATATGTTCACATCAGTCAAAAATCACAAAATTAAATCTTAACCGCTGGATTTACATAATGATTTGTCAACCGATAAAGCGGCCGTAAGTGGTTCGACGTCTTTCAGTTCCCGCAGTCAAACAGACGTTGCATGCATGAATACCAAAGCCTCCATTTTCAACAAGTCTCGTGTTCCGTACAATTCGACTGCAAGTTACAAATCAACTATACAAAAATTATAAATTTATCCAAAGGAAAAAACTTAAAAGCCTCAACAAAGATATGAAGAAATACATATACAAATATAATAGGTTATCCATATAGAATAGAGTTCCACCATTTATGCATCTCTGGGTTCAGTTTGAAAAGCAGATCTGCGACTTGTGACGAATACTATCCTCTATATATATGTGTAAAACAACATATATATCAGATGAGGAGGTAAATGGAGAGGTGCCAAAAAGAAGAAGAGAAATATGGTAGTGAAGAAAAGATGTTTATATCTTTGCCACCTGGGTTTAGGTTTTTGCCGACGGATGAAGAGTTGGTGACGCATTACTTGATGAACAAGGTGTTCAATTACAGGCCGATCCCGTCTTTCATTCTTTTCGAGATTGATGCTTGCGATCTATACTCTAAACCTCCAAAAAATTTAGGTACAATCTTTTAAAATCTAATTTCTTTAATGGACAAGCCTATCATGTTCTACTTTTAAGTTGTTACATATGATTCAAATATTGATTCCTTTTTTTTTTTTTTCTAAATACATGTTTTTATTCTATTGTTTTACTTAAATCAGAGTAAGATAATGGGTTTATCTGAATCAGATTTTGTTAAACTTTAAATTTAATTTGTTTCAAAAATGTCTAGGATGAACTCATTTATTTTCTTTTATTGTTGATTTTTCTTAAAATTCAAACTGATTTGAGCTAATAGATAAAAATTAAAGAAGATATATATCCTTGTAACTGAATTGATCTGTGATTTGTTAACAGAGCAATTTTCAAGTGGGCAAAAAGAAATATTCTTTTTCATCCATGAAGAAAGAAAAAATGTGGAAGGGAAGAATAATAAACGGATGGTTGGAGATGGAACAGGTTTTTGGCAGTTGAGCGGAGATCGAATACCTATTTGCAACTCCCATGGATATGTTTTTGCCTTCAAGATACATCTCATTTATTTCTCCGCAAATAAGTCAACACCAAAGAAAACCCATTGGAGAATGGATGAGTACCACTTGTGCCTAGATCAGGAAACCTCCAAGGTAATATTTTTTAAAAAAATTTAGTTAATACCAAATTTAATTATATTTATCATATATATATATATATATGATTACAGGGTGAAAAATGGGTGGTAGGAAGAGTGAAAAGAGGAACAGACTACGAGAGCCATATATAATCACATACATGTATGTATATTCTTCCTGTTTGTCCATTCTCCACTGTTTTAATTAGTGTATAATTGCTGATATTCTTTTCCTTTGTAAAGACATTGGAGAAGATCCACATTGCTAATGATTATAAACTTGTTTGATCTCAAGTTATATCTTGTGATGTAGTTGAGGAACAACTCTTTTCTGCTTAGAAGATCTAACTTTTGTGTATCCATATTTTTTCTACCTATAATGTCTTGAGAAGAGAGATCTAATAGGAGACCGGGACTTCGATCCAAACTATCTTGAACTGAGGACTGATCTTCATATCCAATCCAGTCTGATCTGAGCTTCTCCCATCTCCAATTTGATCTTCTACTCTCTATGATTGCTTCATTCCATTTCATGAGCTCTCTTCTTTTCTCTCTGCTGATTTTTTCTTCTTTTTCTTTTATACTTAGTAGTGTATATAATATATATATTTCTTAATTAATTCTCTATCTTTCCAATACTTGATTGAGGATTTGAGATCCATCTTCCTCTATGAAGCATTCTCAACAAGTTGAGCACTTCTTTGTTTCCAAAATTTTGGCAGAGTTCAGGACAAGTGCTTTGAGCTTTTGATCTATAAATGAAAGTTGGTCATTATTTTGTTAATTAAAAATTTTAGCCTAAGGTTACTTGCCAACTCTCAATAAATCATTCAAAATTCCTAAAGGAAGACCCACCTTGGCAAGCACTTGCTCTAACCCATCTCCTTAACCCTCATGGCATTAGATTAATTCTATGTTTTTTTCTCATGCCAGGCCTTGTTGTGATCCCATTTTTCATCCACACTAAACCCTGAATCAACCCTCCAAACATAATAAAAATATAGCTCTTGTTATCGAATTTGATTGCTAAAAAACGCCATCATCAAATTGTCACACCCATGTCCAGACCTTACATGGTGGATCCAGTTCCAGCCACCATCTTTCTGTATCTTTCAGGCAATTTTGCAGATGGTGATCTACAGCGACAAGAAGCGCTGGCCAGATAGCTTAAGCTCATATGCTAACTCTTCCATTTATTGCTAGTTCTGAAGATTGTCCTGAAGATTGAGCATGTTTGAGCCAGGTTGAGCAAGTTTGAGTCCTCCGATCACCAGTTCTAGCTAAGGCCATAGATGATTGCTCGTGAGTGGTGAACCCATTCTTGTTTAAGGTTCTCGTTGTTCTTTTTTTTTTTTTTAATTCTTACCTTAAAATCAAGTATCTAAAATATTTTCTTTTTATTTTCCTATCCGTTATTCAATTCACAGTCAAAATTCGCTAATTGAATCGTAAATTCTACTCAAGTTTAATAATTATATCAATTACCTTAAAAACTTAAGCTCATAAAGAATAACTAAATCGATTATGTATATGTTAAAATATCTTTTCGTGCACATGCTTGCTATGCTAAACGCATGAATACCATATTTTATATTAAAATTAAATAATTAAATTAGAAACTGATTAGATAAAAACATTAGGCTTTTTTCTCTAACTATAAATAATTATTCTAGAAATTTAAATCGATGAAAAATACCCAATCTATTATATTTTATTGACATCGATAGTGTATAATTGAAATTCTTTTAATCACATATGAAAACCTAAGGGAGCAATATTGTTAAATGTTAATCTTACAATCATTGTCTATGATTCAAGCTTCAATAAGCTTTGAATCTGCAGTGCCAAGGTCAAGGTTGCTGGTCCACGAAGCCATATCAGCATCCACTCCATTCCCATCTCCTCTACAACTTCCCCCCCCCCCCCCCCCCCAAACCTAATCACTATCGCCTGATTAGGTTTAATATTTTCAACAAAGGCCTTTAGATAGTCTGACATGACTCAAGGTTCAGATAATTGAATTGTAACCCAGACAGACTCCTCAGCTTCATGATTTATATATATTCGCGTGTCAACCTGAGCAAAACTAGGGTTCAGGATCCAATTAAATTACTAATAGAGCTAAATTCCTAATAAAGCGAAAACAGAAATGTGGCATATAAATTTCTAAAAGGGTCAGACACCCATATTTCATGGATATCTTTGTTCATTACTATTAGTAAGGTGAGAAGGCAGGTGTACTAAGCCTTCCTGATTAATGACAATAACAGCACCAGTCATAACATAACTGGCAGCATACACTACCCTACTTTCCTATTGATTATTTACTTGAAGGATATTGTAGTAATTCTCTTAAATGGTACCTACTTTGCTCTCTTATCAAATCCTTCTGAACAATAAGTTGAGTCATTACACGTAACTTATCACTACTCTATACTTCTAGAGCCCCTTATTACTAACCAAGATTAGCTACAAGAACTTTACCCGGCTTCAATTAAAGCATAATAATTTTTTTTTATGAGAACCAGAAATGCAATGACCGTAGCCAAAAATAAAATTTAGTGCAACTTCGATATTAAAGATACAAATTAAACTCCCTTCGGCTTCGTTACCCAACTCTGACTTACAGTCACCCCTTATCTCAAACTAAGGGAAGGAGCTCCAGTACAAACCATCAAATGAAAGAATCCTCATACTCCCCCAGTCACCTTTAAGCCCAACTTCATGAATCTGAGACATGTTAGCTTTGTGTGCCTGGCCGAACAGGACCCAGGTAGTTTGAGACCAAACCCATGATAGCAAACCTGGTTTTTGGTCAGCTAAATTAGTACTAGTGATAAAAACGTCAAGCATGCACCTCTTATGCCATCAAAACAAATTGGCAATTTACAGTGAGAAAATCAATACAACCGCATATCAACATGTTATCTTGAAAAGCAAAAACCTCAACTCAGTTTGTTAAGCATCCAGACTTAGGTTATGGGTTCAGGTTTCCATCTCTACCCCTGTCCCCTCTCAAAAGAACATGCATATCTTGAAATGTCCAAGAAGAGCGAGCACATTCAGGATGTCAGCATAATGTTTATGCTTACAAATCCATAGCATAAAACACTGATCAGATTATTCATCACTTATCAAATGTACGGATTACGAAACACCATGCTTATAACAAAATTTTATTTTTATGTTCACTATTGTTAGGGAGTTGCCTCACTCAGAATCTCACTCAGAAAATTTTGGTAAGATACGTACTCTTAAATGGAAGGGCAACATACAAAATGGGAAAAAATAAAAGAAACCTCTCATAATCAAAATCATAGAACCAATCCCTAGGCAAGAAATGTTGCTTGAGAATCAAGCACAAGGTACTATGTAATCTATAAAGAAGGGAAAAAAAAAAGCTTTCTACAAATTATTTTCTGTGTGCAAAATAAAAGCCTAGACTCAAAATAAAATTTATTACTGGCCTGATTTATCCAGTTACTGTTATCTAAATAACACACTCTACCAATGCCAGACCCATGCCATGAAGCAATACAAGAATTAAACTAAATAATGTTTTACCATCGAGCAACACTGGTTACTGCACTTCTATAAAACACGCATTTACAGTCTAATTTCACAGGCCATATTCTATTGAATCTCCTCACGCTCGAGAATCATGAAAAAAATAAAACGGAAACAACCACTGTCGTTTCAATTAATGTCAAAGAATCAACTAAAATCTTTCTACTTTCCCCAACCAATATCTATTCCCGTTATCAGCAACGTCACATTCAGTACACTCCCTATGGGTCATGTATTAATCTCGGAAACAGAAATCAATTTCCTCAAATACTGCTAATATTAAGAGCCAGACAAAAAGATGAGACCGCAAAAGAACATTAATAAGCAACCGTTCTATACACTCGATCCAACGATAAAACTAATTAACTAAACGAGAATAGTGAAGAGAAAGAAGCAAGACTTACATCATCGCCATAGAAATCTGCTTAAGATCGTTCTCAATGTTCCTCATGTTGGCTAGCGACTGCGCGCAGAATATGATAGCAACCCACGAGCTAAGCTTGTACTGCAATTTCGTCAAAGTAAACAATTTCAGACAACAATCAAGACAGAAGTCGATCAGAACTAATACAAAATTTTCGGATTTCAGTCAAATTTTGCCCGGAAATGCTTTTATCAGATCTAGGTATAAAACTGTTTATAAAATACTGGACGAAAGATGCTTTAAAAATAGAGAAAAAAAAAAAAAAAACAAAAAAAAAAAAAAACAACAACGAATCAGTCATCATTACCCTAAACATGACGCCGGCAATTCCAAAAACGACGGCGATGAAACCAGAGTAGTCGACGGGAAGATCCTGCGGTGGCACCGCATATGGAGTGTAGGGCTTCGCCGACGAAGGCTGTCGTGGATCATTCCCCGATGCATTGCCGTGAGACATCTCTCTCGCTCTCCGTCTTCTTCTTCTCTACGACTCTCTTTCTCGCTCGGTGTGAATTAGTTTGAAGAAAGTAGGAAATACAAGTTTTTATTGCCAACGAAAGAACGAATTCTATTCCTCTTATGACTAAGCGTAAGAAATATCATAATTTTTACAGTTATAAATAATTTTTTTCTTTTTTGAAATAAATTTGGGTGACCTGTTATGACATAATAAATATATTTATCTGTTTAATTTATTTTTAATAAATAATAATAAAAAAGTATTTATTTTAATAAATATTAATTAAATTGAATATTGTGGAATTTAATTTAGTTTAGAACTCTTTTTAAGTCTCCAAGTTCAACTGAAATTCGGTATTATATCTAATTTCTAACAAGGGAGTAACAAAATTTTATTTTATTTTTTGAAAAATTAAAATTTAAAATAAAAAGATGGAAATGATTTTTGAATCTTCTTTACCCAATATTTAATATTCCAATTGTGTGCTTTAAATTAAAAAAAAAATTAACTATCTTTATTAAATTTATTAAAATTAATTTATAACTCCTATACTTTTTAAGATTATAAAAAAAATGAGAAATAAGACTTTAATTATTGACATCAAAAATTTCAAATTTCGTAAAAAAAAAAAATTGTATTTTAGCATAATCTTGTAAAATTAAGAATTAATTTCAAAATATGACACAAAACTAAAGCCATAATTTACAAATAATATTATTTATCACCCTTCTATTTATTTAGATAAAAAATAAATTTAAATCGCGATTAAAACCAAATTTTCTTTTAAAAAAAAAAATTAATGTTTTTGTCTTAACAATATAATATAAATTATTATTTTTTAAAAAAATTTATTTGAAATGGTTATATATATATATATATATATATTTAGTAGGAAGTGGTTTTACAATTTACCCTTGGCAAGGTTTACAGGCTTGAGCTCTCATCTTCTTCATAGCGTAGGCCTTCTCTGTGTACTCTGTTAGAATATTAGAATATAAATATGTAATTTTTCATATCTGGTGGATTGTTATTGTAAATACTTGTAAAGTTAGGGTTAATTTTAGAATTTTAATAAATTAAACCCTTGTGTATAAATACCCGATTTTCTCTCAATTAATACAATCCGCCATTATTACCCAAACAATCGACTGCAAGCTCCTTCCATTCTCTCTGTTTGTTGAGTTTCCTTGACTCCTCATCAATTTCTTTATATTCGATTTCTGTATTCCTTCGCTCTCGGATTCGTCTTCCCTGCGTACTCTACTGGGATCAGACGCAGAATCTGACCAAACTCAGATACCTTCAAGAATGGAGACTCAACAGCTAGACTCAAGCCCTTGCACTCCTTCGATTTCACAGTCTCGTAATTCGATGAACAATTCACCATTTCCACCATCAGTGACGAGGCTATGGAGACCAGCTGCTCAGCGAAATCTTAGAAACCAATGGTCCCAAATGGTATCTTACAGGCAACAGTGGGTCTCTGCGTCTACTAATGCAAGATCGAATGCTACTTCACTTGTCAATGCTTATTTATCTCAAAGGTATTAATACTGGTATTATTCACTGGTTTTTGTTGCTTTTTTCTCCTTGATTAGGTCTATGTGTAAGTGTTTATTCTCTTTTCCTTGTTTTTTCCTTCTTTAATTGTGGAGTACTTTGGATTTTCTAGAACTTTCCTTGCTTTGAATTGGATCTTATCTGCTGAAAAGTATGGGCTTTCAGTTTCCCTGGTTTACCAGTTCGCCTATGGAAGGAGGAAGAATATAAACAGTGGAAATTGTGTATTATGTGTTGTTTGTTTCCCGAGAAATTTGGGGAAACTGATGGAAAAAAAATTTGATTTTGGGGGTTTTATGGTGATTCTGAGGATGAAGACCTTCTATAATTGATGGCCTCGTTGAAGTGGGTGACTTTCAGTTTATGTCAACAAAATTGAATTTGAAAAAGAAAAATTCTCTTCACCTTTTAATTCCCTGCCTTCCTTTTCCTCCTAAAAAACAGGAATGGTATTTGATTTCCATTTAGATGCTTTACTATCGTCCTAGAGGGTCTGTGCATTAGGAAAATAAACGTGAAGTATACTTTTTATCACTGCTTTTAAGAAGTTTTATCAGCTAAGTATCTCAGTGTTTATGCAAGTTGTTCGTTGATTTAGGTATATACCTTCAATGGAGCTCGGTGTTCTAAGTGATATGCCAGATATTAGAAAGAAAGCTTTATCAAAATTGTTTATACAGCAGGTTATTTTTATCTTTAACCGTCTCCTTTGTGTATGGTAGAGCATGAGTGGTAATGTTTCACCGGATATGTTCACTTTTCTTGGTCTTGGATATTATCCGTATATGAATTTCGCCGTTGATTAAATAAATCATAGAAGAGCAGCAGCAAAAACATAAATCTTCCATATAAATAACCTCGAAATAACTGACAGTCATTTAAATTTATAGTAATAATTTAGTCTGAAAGCAAATTGAATTTGCTGAATCTCTGTTTCAGGAGCTTCATAGGAGCAAGTTTTTATCATCTTACAAAGATATGGTATGTACACTCAATAAGTACATATAATTCCATTATAATAATGAAGTTATCTTACCTGCAACTTGGATGTAGTATATAGAACAATTTATTTCAGTACAGTTAAAAAATATATGATATGTTAAGCTGCTAAGGTAGAAGATGATACATCCTTATAATTTATCCTATAGTCTTATCTCTATAGTGCTAAACATATACATAGTGTATTTAGATCCATGGTAACTTTCTTTTATTTATTTATTGTCTTTTCTTCTGTCGGGGTTTCCATGGGGAAAGGGTTTCATGAAAACAAATGCAGGAAACATGGTACAAACTTCTTAGTCCCCATCACATTGTATCAAACTCAATGGCAAAATAAAATCCTTGTATGACATTTTGCTGAAAATTCTGCCAACAATCATTTTCTAATAATATCTGGTTGAGTAATGGTTTGGAAAATTTAAGTAATTTGGTTGAAATACAGGTTGCTGTTGTAACTCACATGGTTAATACTAGTAAATCCATGAGATGTTTTCTCAAAGGGACAAGTGGTAGTTCAATCGTACAATTTTCTAGCTCTTCCGAGGAAGGAAATGACACTGGTGATGGTGGCGGTATTCCGATCTTCACATTTTGGTCAATATATCCATTCGGTATGCTCTTCTTCCTGAAATTTTGGCTCTTTTGGTCGAGTTGTTTAGTTCTCGTGCATTGGTTACTGTACTTGACTGCAATTATGTTACTGGTATTGACAGTAACAATAGTTGCCCCTGTTGTATCTTTTCTCCATTTCATCAAGATCTACCTAAATAATTTTAGGAGATATTAATTCAATTTTTAAATATAATTTTAGACATGAGCTGATTGGCATTATAATTGTTAAGCCTTTCTTGACAAATTTGTAAAACATGTAATTCAAGAAAGGCATTCTTACTTAACTGGAAATTAGAAACTCTTTCAACTCTTTTAGGCAATTAGTTGCTAGTTCATGCTAGTTATCAAACTGATTTTGGAGCTTGCTATCCAAATAAGGATGCTGCTTATTTCACAAAAAAAAAAAAAACAGAAGCTCTGTACGGATAAGCTCACTCTATGAAATGAAAGTGGCTATCGGGTTTCAAGCTTAAAAATATCAACAATATAAAATTAGTAGTAAAATATCACTTTTAGTTAGGAAGTTTGAGGCTTTGTCTAGCTCCATTTCATAATGCAGTTCTCTGAATGGTTGCAGAGAAGCTAGCAGAGGAATGTGTTCAGATGTTTGCACTGGAGCTGAATCTGAAGGTAAAATGATGACTTCCTTTTAGCTCCTACAGACATGTTCTGGAATTTTTTACGCCCCCAGAATTTTCAAACATGTTTTGTTCTTTTTATGTTGTTTGGTTTGGATAGCGGCTGCTTGTAATGGAGTTACTCTCCATTAGATCTGAAGCTCCACAAGTAGAGAAATTGTGTTGGACAGATGAGCTTTATCCAGGAGAACTTGATGACTTGAGTATATGCGGCTTGTATTTGAAAGAAACCTGTGAGCCAATCCTTCCAAGATTGAGAGACAAGAAATCTGATATGCCTGCTGTAGTAGATAATTGCAAGCCCAACCAAGCTATTTTACAGGTACTGGTTTCATCAAATATATCAACTTGGATAAGTTGAAATACATTAAGAGACATGTTTCATAAGAAACATAATCTGTTTTTCCATATATATCTCAAGAAAAGCATCCATTATCATTTCTTAAGAAGCAAATTTCTTTTAATCACTTAATTCTATTTTGCTGAAGGTCTATTTGACAACATGGCTTACAGACTTGAATATAGATTCTCAAAGGTAACTAACCACCACTCAAGCTAAATCCCTTTTTAGAATTGTGATAAAGCAACTGGGAGAAAAGAAGGGGGAGGAGGAGATGTAGGTACATGTATATATATATAACGCATAATATATATATATATATATTCTACTATATGCCCAAAATACAGTAGAATATATAGTCTCAAAGGTAACCAACCACAACTCAAGCTAAATTTCTTTTTAGAGTTGTGATAAAGCAACTGGTAAAAAAGAAGGGAGAGGGGGAGATGTAGCTATATATATATATATATATATATAATATATATTCTACTATACACCCAAAATCTTTTCTAATTTAACATTATTGAAATGCTCCAGAAAGGTTTTGACAGATGGGTGTTCTTCCCTGACAGGGTGGATGAAATATTTGAAACAGTTGGAGAAGAAATGCATGTTAAACTTTCATAGCTCTTTTATTGTTTATCCATCAATCAAATTTGAAGCCATCAGTTCTTCAGGTAATGGTAGAAGTTGGTTATCTTCAATTTTTCAAATTATGTCTATTTGAACAAAAATTGGGACTTGTGTATCTAATTGAACATAAAAATTATACAGAAGCTAATATGAACAGATTTTGAGATGTCAAAGCTTGAGCTCATACATGTGTGAATTTTACTTTCTTTGTATTTAAAATTTAGTTTAAAAAATCAGGCTGCATATCCATTTAGTTAAAATTATTTTAATACATGTGTATATGTAGACTGTTTGTGTGTATCTATATAAGATGGTAAGATACATTGAGTTGTAATTCCCGTGTGTGTTATTAACTTGATTTGACTCAATTTTTAAAGTAAGAAAGTATTTTAGAAAGGAGACTTTGTTTTAGAATAATTAAGAGGAATTTTAATTATATGTATAATTTAAATAAGTTTCTGTTTGTACAAGTTTAAATATAGAAATTAAAAATATATGCTTTTAAGAATTTACTTTTTCCTTTTCAATATATTTTTTTGATATTGCTCTTAAATAAATTAATAAATTATAACTTTGTCTCTTTAATCATATATAAATGAGTATAATAAACATATTTGTACATAATATCAATTAATTATATATATATATATATTATGTACATCTAATATGTAAAATTGTATATTACATAATATAATATTTACATACGATTTTTTGTTAGTGATTGAGGGTGAGGTCGATCCAGTGTGGCCGTGTAATATAATATTTACAATGGGAAAGGACAAAAGTAATTTTGTAGTGTTTAACTTTTTTAATATTTAAATTTAAAAAATAAAAAATATATAGTACATGTATTTAACATGTTGTTTACGTGGCGACCACGTGGACAACGTGGACAAATAGATTCAGAAAGTGAGTTTTGCATGGCTACATTAACCGGCAATTCTAGATATTTTGTTGTTTTAATCATTGTTAATACTTTAAATAAAACTGTTAGAATTTAATAATAATAATAATTAAATCGATTTTATTTTTATACATAAGTGTATCAAATTAATTCATGAAATAATTAATTAATTAGACATTGAATACATTACATGCATATATTAGATTAATTTTAAAATTAATTTTAGAAATAGATTGTATGAGTGTATTAACTTACTATAAAAATCAATTTTAGCTATAATTAATTTTCTTATATAATTAATATTTGTTTATGTGCTTTGATATGGTAGAATCATTATTATTATTCTAATTATTATTAATACTTTAAATCATTTTATTCTTAAAAATTACTGCACACAAATAAATAAATCGTTAAGTTAGTTTCATTCACACACATATAAACTCAAAACTTTTGAGAACATATAAAGAAGTACTAAATCCCTACTCATTTACGTTCACATTTCCAAGGCATTAAAAAAATAAAAACAGTAAATGCCAAAAGTCTAAAACAAAGCCACCATCAGCATAAGTCCAGAATATAAAGTAGTAATTTGCAATATCCAATGATATTCCCAGGAGTTAAGACTACATGCCGAAACAGGGGCTTCCCAAATTCTGAATTCTAAATTTAAATATTCCCTTCAAGTATTTAGAGTACTCCAATTCTTCAAATGAACAAGGAGCGTACCCTCTGTAACTTCCATCAAGTTACCAATCCCATAATCTTTTGATCTTCTACTGTTACTATAATATACCATAAGTTAATTTTAACACCATATTTCTAGTTTCATCAATTTTTTTAGTGACAATTCGATAAGAATTGATAGTTTAAAAAAACGAAAAAAAAAACATTATTTAATTCTACGTAGAATCTCATCAGGTATAATTTTTTTTTTCTTTCATTTATGAAAGAATTTAACCATTTTTAAGTTGAATTAACTGCGCACCAGCAAAAGAACTTCATACTTCCCATATTCGTTCCAAATGTAAGAAGGAAACAACACAAATAAAGTTGAAGAACCTAAGTACCATTATGTCAGATAACAGGTGATGTTCAAACCCAAACCCTTCGCTTGTAAAATTTTGCTTAATCTTTTGCAGATTCCCACTTTTCTTTTCTGCAGATATCATTAAACTTACAATTTCAATGCATTTAGAAAAATTATACAAGAAATCCATAACAAAAGTCCAAAAAATCAATAACAAAACATAGCCACCACTGGTAGTACTACAAAAACTAAAGAATATCATCGGCATCTTCCAAGAGCTTAAGATATATTCCAGTTTGGCCTTTAATAATACGTTAACCGCTTCAGATTTAACAAATCCTGAAAGGGGGGGGTGCCAAGATTTTCAAAAGTTGTCCCTCTTCTGTAAATAATCCTTCCTTCCTAAGAATATCAACTTAGAGTTCTCAAGTACCAAAAACAGCTCTTAATGAGAAAGCATAATGTGAACTATCCAATCACCAATATGTCTGGAAACGAATTATGGAGTTGAGTCCATAAAGAACAGAGTAACTAATCAATGACTAACAGAGGGACCCAAAACCCAATTCAAATTAGACTTGAGATTAAAAAGAAAATTAACTCCAACTAAAAGTCAGGAACATTGCGATTCAACATTAATCATTCCATTAATTTTGTTGGTAAATCATATGAACTTTGAACAAGATGTTGTAAGTTATAACATTAATTATAAAATTGGGGAAAATATCAATAGACTATTTCTTGCGGTAAAAATGGCCATTCAAGACTTTGGTCAATGAAATTCAACAACCTTCCCATCAACCCCTGAAGTATATGGAAAAGAAATGGGGGCTAAAAACCTTATTCTAATTAGAAGCCCGCGATCCAAAGTCTTGAGACAGGGATATGCATAATTACCTGGAACTTTAACTACTTATGAACTGAAAAATCAGAATGAGTTTCTGTTCCCCCAGTTACTGAAAAAATACATATATATTTACGGGGCATCCACTTTCTCTTTAGCCTTTCAAGTACGCAAACTCCAACTTATATTTCCCAAGAATGACAACAATTGCCTAGATCGAAAATAGCTAACAGCAGATCCATTGCTTTCAAGTTCATTCTTCCCCTACATTCCCTTTGTGTGGTTCAACTATGTTCAGGTGCCACTATATAAGTTGGAGGAAATTGGCCAGAAAAGCATGAGGAATATGGAGACAGTTGACCAAGAAAGAGAGGAAAATCAATTAATTAATGATCATAGTGAAAGACATTGTACCCTGTCAGGAAGATTCCTAGGCATTGGAAATGCAGTAACATATCGTTGGGGAGAGGATTTCTGAGCATTTGCAGCTGCACTAGAGGAAGAGGTCTCAACCCCATCGGTTTGTCCTCTGCCATGGAATTTAGCAAATCGATTGATGACAGAAAACTTCTCTAGTTCCTGCCATTCCACTCTCAAGTCTAGGATTGAGGCCCTTTTGTCCACTCTGCGCAACAAGCAGGAAGAATTAAAAACAAACATGTAGGTATAAGGTCGGGATCCAACATTTCGTATCAATACAAGCACACAACAATTGTTAATGATTAGTTACAGCAGCAACCACAAATACACAAAATAAAAGAGAGAAGAATAGGTCTAAAAAACAAAATCCAAATAATGCAAGTCAAAAAAGCCAAACAGGCCAAATAATTCAAATAATCACAGGGATTCAGAGATAACATGCCCTGACCCCTTAAACTAACAATATTAGCAGGCTTAAGAAAACGGTGTTAAGAAATTCCTGTAATTGTCTTTTTCAGTCAACTATTACAAAGATTAAAATTTTTCTTAGCACCATTCATCTTTTTAACATGAGTTTCTTAGTTACAGACTACTTAACATTACTGTCACTAGCCTCTTTCAAAAGAAAAAATTAAACAAGCATAAATTGCACAAGGCTTGTAGTTGCTTGTCAGTGATATAGTGGTCTGTTGAATAACATAATTACAAACCATATAAGGAGCATATTTGAAGACTTGTTTAACCAAGACACCGGGGCACAGAATTATAGTCTGCTTGGGATATAACATAATTACACAACATATAGAGTATATTCGAAAACTTGATTAACCAAGAACCTAGTTCAGCAAGCAGAAGACTCACAGCCTGTTTGGATGTTTGGAATAACGTAAGTATTCAGTTTGCCAGGCAGAAAAGTCATAAGCCTGTTTGATTCAATTCTTATTCTGTTAATTTAATTAATTATTAAATATTCTTAGTAGGTAGAATTACATCATAAATTTCCTGTTTAAATCAACTCTACTCTACCCTAACTCCTTTATAAACAGATTTCTAGTTCTTACTTTCTCAAGTAGTAACTGGAATCCACCTCTAAGGAATTCAAAAAGAGAGATTGATTTAAATGTTAAAATATCATCCAATTTTACACATCAAAGATATAATAGTAACTATGTACTAAGATAAGAATCAAATGAAAACTGAACCAAGGGCAATAGGTGCCCCTATCAACAAAAGACTAGACCAATATGAGCAGAAGATGAGAAAGGGTCCCATCTCATGACTCATTCTATGTTGTGCCCAGTTAAAAGACAGATCAATCTACGTGTTAGGATAACTCTGCAATGGCAATGCATGAATTCAACATGTACCATTACATGTGATAGGAAGACCAAGTTCGAGAACATTCTTCACTAAATGTGAAGCACATAAAATATTATGTATTCGCAATCAAATAAAAACACATGTAAAAACAACAGAGAATTCGTACTTACCTCAACAGATCATTTTCTAGCTTCTTTGCTCTATTAATGAAGTCCTCCATGGCTTTCAATATGAAAGGATCATCAATTCTCTCAGATATTTTGGCCTTGTCAGACGGCCTAAAGAACATATTGCAAAACTTGCTATTAGTATGACCAGAATAATAGTTCTCATAAGTAAATTAAAAGTTACCTACATGTACCAAGAGTATAATTAGGAAGTTAGAGATAGTGTTCAACAGGAATTCTTACAGGTTTTCATTGTCAGGCGACACAATATTATCACTTCCAGAGGAAGACAATGTACTGCATGCATCTCCTAAGGCTGCCCTAGCAATGAAGTATGCCACAGTCTCGTAGTGTGGCGTAGCATCTAAAGAAAGAACTGATGCCGGAGGAGGATGAAAAAGTTGCTGCATAAGCTGTGTTGTCAAGATAAGCCTTCTTTTTGATCTAAACAGTGCTGAACAATCTTCAAATACTTCAGCTTCATCTTCCAACTGTCACCAAATTTCAAGCTATTAGAACACCAAGAACACTTTTCAAGGAGAAAGCACAAGTATTGTTATAGCAGTAGATCATGGATAAACTATAAACACACCTTCTCTGCCAGTCGAGTTGCTGCTCGGCACCATCCTACTTCTGCCACACTGTAACCAAAAGCATTTTATATCTACTTGGCAATTAATTTAAAAAATAAAAAGAAGCATAACATGAATCAAGCAACTTTATCTTAACGCTGCAAGTGACCAACAGAAGAAGCTTGTTTATTTATTTTTTTGAGAAGGGCATGGATAGATACAACTAAAACTGATGTCTCATTGAAAAAGAAAGGTTTGCACATGCTAATCAAAGACAAATGTGCTATCTTAATGTTTTGTACTCTGGAACAGAATTTAGGGGCCAAGTCTACAGGAGATTTTCCCACAGGAAGTATAATAAAACTTAGCAACACTATTTTTATTTATTATTTATCTGTGTGCTTACAGTTAAATGTCTTAAAGCCAGTTGGTGGTTGTTTCAATTTGTTAGTTGCTGAGAGTTAATATGTTTGAAATTCTCTGAGACTGTTAGCTATTCTTATGGAGCAGCTTTTATCATCAAGATGGCAATTATTATGTAATCCTGTACACTTTGATAAGGCATAGGAAAGAACGATTCGTTTTGAACAATAGATGTCTTTCACATCCAACTATAGCATTGAATAACCTTTTTCATTTTTGAATGGCAGTTCCAAAAAAACGTACTTCTATATCAAAAAAGCGTATTCGTAAAAATCTTTGGAAAAAGAAGGGATATTGGGCAGCGTTGAAAGCTTTTTCATTGGCGAAATCTCTTTCTACAGGGAATTCAAAAAGTTTTTTTGTACGACAAATAAATAACAAAACATTAGAATAATCTGAATTGGCCTAACTTGAACTTGAAAAGGTAATTTATTTTAGAATCCACTTTATCATTGGGTTCTTTCAGATGAGCCCATCGTCTTGCAATCATAGGTCATAAAGGACAAAAAACATCCAAAAACTACAGCCTCCAATCTGATTTGGCCCTATGTAAACACATATCTAGGTCAAAGATAGAAATCCTACCACTTCAGAAATTACCTGATATTTTGAAGCCTTGGGGAACCCTGAGTCACTTCTTTACCCCATGATACAAGTTCAAAGTTGTTACTTTTACGCTTTGGTCTCACAATAGCCAAATTTTGATTGGTATGAGGAGGCAACAACTGAGAAGATGAGAAAGGTGAGGAGCTGGTAGTTTGCCGGATATCACCAACCTGACTGCTATCAAAAGTATGTACACGCTCCATTGGATGACGAACATGAAAACTATCAGAACCCCGATTTTGGGTATCATATATTGGCAACATTTGCCCATTTTTGAAAGTACCGTAATGACCAAACCAGGATGGCGCCATATGCGGACTGATATAAGAGTGATCACCTCTAACAGCTGCTGCAGTACTATCTCTGGATTGAGATTGAGAATCCCCAACCATGTCATGAACAAACACATTTGCGTCATGCTCATCTCTGGTTTTTGATGGGAAGTTTAGCATCTTAGAATCTCTAGATGCAACTGATGTGTGATTTATTGATGATAACGGCTGTCCTCTAGAAGCCACTTGCTGAGATTCCATACCATCTTCCTGACCTTTAAATCTCTTCAGACTCCTATTACTGGGATCAATCTCTGCACTTCTCCTGGCCAGCACTTGATGCAGTAAGGAGTAATTGTCATTCAAAGTATTATTTGGCCTTAAAGATCGACCAAAGGCTTCAATATCTCTTTGGCTGGTTGTAGGGATCGACGAAGATGTGTCAGAGGAATAATCTGCATAAGTTTCTTTTCCCTCCATATGTGATGCACTCATTGTGTTTGGACCAGCAGAATTTTTTCCGGGCAATAGTTGCTGCTCTTTGGCTGGTTGCTCTTTCTCATCTAAGCCCTGTGATTTTCCCAATGAGACACCAACTTCAGATAAGTCTTCCACTCCTTTTTGAGAATTTTCATCCAACTTTTGTTGATCAGAGAAACTTGTTTCCAAATTGTTACTTGACTGAAATTGAGGCGTTAACGAATTTGAATAAGGCTTACAAAGCTGAGCACCTAACGGACGTTGCTGATTTGAAACACTGGCCCAAGCATCAGGTAAAACTTTTGAAAACACACCTTCCTGCTGAGACGTATTGGATGAAACAGAAGGCTGAGCAGCTGGCATTGCCTCCAATGCAGGTAATCTTTGCACTGGATCTCCTGCATGACTTGGGGTGCTTGTATTTGGCCCTGATGTATCAGCAGAAGATACAAGATCACATTTAGACATCTCAGGCAATGACACACATTCTAACTGACTTTTTTTAGTTCTGTCACCAGAGTCATCTATCTGTTTTATCTGGGGAACAAGCCTATCAAAAGGAAGATTGACAGCCCGAGCAGATGATGTTTCTGTGCCAGGACCAGTAACATGCTGGCTTTGAAGATGATTTCTCATATAAGAAAAAGCCGAAAATGAGGTAGAAGAATTCCCCTGCATTTTACTAAGCGAGGCATTGTCGCTGGTTTTTCCTGAGATACTAGGTACACTATTTGTAAATGTACCTTCAGATTGTTCATGAGAAGGGCGCAAAGACTGAGTAGAGCTCATGGGAGCCAACCATGAGTGACTTTGTCCTGCAGTGTCAGAAGTGCCACGGGTTGAAGCTAAACAATTAACTGCTTGGGAGAAGCTCTGGGAAGAAAGGGTGGGGTCTGGAAATGACAACCGTTGCGATGGAGGGCCCAGTTGTAGACCAAACCCTTGAGAACCAGATGACTGATTTTGCTGCAGATGACCAACAGATCCATCAGAGGTTTCCGCATCAGGCATCTCAGATGATCGGTTGCGGTCAGAAGAGCTTAAGTGTGTTGGAGCACCGTGTTCCCTTGATCGATCTACCTTATTAAGAAGCTCAAGCATATTCT